TGATCAGCACGTTTCTCAGAGAAGGGACAGAGCGGTGTGGAATAAAGGTAAATTATGTGAAAAATAATGCGTAAAAAAAAAAAAAAAAAACATTTTTTAAATGAAAAATTAACACGTTAGACTGCACACCATAAACACAATACAGCCTAGAAAAAAAACAGTCAACCACCCCTTTAAATAAAAAATGCACAATTGCAGCATTTTTTATAGTGGTCTCAGACTTTGGAGGCTGATGTATATGTCTGTGATGCAGTAAGTGACTGACACCTGAAGAAGTTGTGGAGCTGAGCTCTGCTGCACTGGGACCATGTGAGATCAACACTGTTATAACCTCCATCAGATGCCATCATAAACCCACTGGAGCTGCATGTGTTGTCTATTCCATCATGATTTATGCCAAAACTGGAAAAAACAATAAAGCAAGAACAATTACTATTATGTGTTCAGTTTCACCTCACATTTCAGCATGGTAGTATGACTCTGAGTTTTATAATGTTGTCAAGCTCACCTGTGGCCAATCTCATGAGCGATGGTGATGCCAAGATCAAAGCCTGTATCCTCTGTAATCACACAGTTCCATTGAGAGGAACAGACTCCGCCCAGCTGGGTCACACCTCTCACAAGCTTATTCCCATTAGGTAACACCAGATCAAACCTTAATGATGTCAAAGAGAGGCACTAAAATGCAAGTGTGCAGAAACACTTGATAGTAATATTCTGGTATTTCAAACATTTTAGCAAGATATCTAACAACTTGCTTCAAAAATTATTTGCACTTATATCAAATATAAAAAAATATAATATAATATAATATAATAATTAATATAATATAATATATGGCACTTTTAATTAATAAGGTAGACTTTGGTACCCCATTACCATTTTCTGTAAATTTATTAATTATAATATTTAAATAAAATTACAATAATTAGAATCTTAACAATTATATATTTATATATATATATATATATATATTATGTTTATATGTTTATTTATAATGCATTGTTATTTTATATATAAAAATGGCTTCATCTTTTAAGAGTTTTAGGCATTATTTTATACCGTACAAACAGAAAGTTTCATAAATTAACAAATCGCTTACAAAGTAAATTTGACAATTACACAATAAAGAGGAATGACTGTCTTTTAATTAAAGGGGTCATATGATGCGATTTCAATTTTTCCTTTCTCTTTGGAGTGTTACAAGCTCTTGGTGCAT